TGATCATTTCCTTCTTTTATGAAGCCCCTCCCTCAGAAATAGGCGATGGGCTCTGATTGGTTAGCTAGCCTAGTGTGTTGTGATTGGCTAAGCCGCCTCTAGTGTGCGTCTAAACGTCCCGCCCCTCAACTCAGCAGCATGTGCTCCGGTTGTATTGTAAACAACGGCGTCATTAATATCTTATCAGTTTGAGCCCGATTGAGAAGCAGAGGATATTATTGAAGAGGATCGTGCAGAACCTGTGCAAGCACGGCTTTTAATGCTTTAATGTTTATCTTTTTATTCTTAAAGAATAGTTTGTGTTGTATCTTTATGCAGATGTTCTATTGCAATCTTTGCTGCTCTAAGAAATTCACTGTAAAAAGTACATATCAATTTTTAATTAAAAAAGTCTCTTATATTGTAATATTGGGTAGACAATAATTTGATATTAACTGAATGCAAAGTAGATATTTTCCAGATAATACTTTTTAATAATTTGCTTTGTTTAGGGCTATGAATACAAGCAAAGATGAACATACTGTATATTTAAAGCTGAACATTCAGCTTTGCCATAATTTTAAAATATATTAAAATAGAAAACATATATTTTAAATTGTAATAAAATTTCACAATTTTAATGTTTTATTGCATTTCTAATTCAATAAATGTCACCCTGGACCACAAAACCAATCTTAAGAGTAAATTTTTCAAAATTGAGATTTATATATCATCTGAAAGCTGAATAAATAAGCTTCCCATTGATGTATGGTTTGTTAGGATAGGACAATATTTGGCTGAGATGCAACTATTCGAAAATCTGGAATCTGAGGGTGCAAAAAAATCAGAATATTGAGAAAATCACCTTTAAATTTGTCCAAATTAAGTTCTTAGCAATGCATATTACTAATCAAAAATTAAGTTTTGATATATTTACAGTAGGAAATTTACAAAATATCTTCATGGAACATGATCTTTACTTAATATCCTAATGATTTTTGGCATAAAAGAAAAATCGATAATTTTGACCCATACAATGTATTTTTGGCTATTGCTACAAATATCCCCGTGCAACATAAGACTGGTTTTGTGGTCCAGGGTCACAAATTCAGCCTTGGTGACCATATAGTGTCGAGAGAGAGAGACAGGACAATGAATTGTGACCTAATCTACTTTTTCTCTGTAACTTTAGGTCTTTGCTCCCCGCCTGTAATTGAAATGCGTGTTGTAAAGGGTCTGCGTGTCCTGCTTTCTTGTGTGCAACTGTCTCCTCGTCCCTGCCACTGGGACCATCCTCCACATAGTCACACCCGCCGCCACAACAATGACCTGGAGGTGCAGGTCACAGAGAAGAGCCTAGGCACCTACGTGTGTCTATGTGATGAAGTAGGCAGAGATCAGCCACCCTGCCGCAGAGCCGAGTACCAGCTGACCCTTGACAACCCCAGCATGGAGGGGAATGTGGCCATTGCAGGTGGCCGACACTTCCTGGCTTCACACATCATTTTTTTCGTTGTAGGTTTTGTATTGGGTGGCATCCTGTTGTTTCTCATTTACAAACGGCAAGGTGGAATGAGAGGGGGCGGGCACTCATCATCCACGTTGGAAAAGGGGCGGGACTTGCTTCCTTCTACAGACACACCGCAATCTCCAAGCAGCGCCAGTTTGTTGTCAGAGGCGGTTCCATTAACCGAGAAAAGGAACGGGACACTGAACGGTCACGGACACAATATGCACCCGGCTGGGCACAACAGCAGGCATATTTATTCTAACTCCAGTGGACTGAAACTGCAGGAATCAGCTGTGAACCTAGCAGAGGAGCTGGATGGTAGAGAAAGGGCGGGGCCAGATGGGGAGGAGGAAGGATTGGGGGAGGGGCTAAGTGAGATGGAGGAGGATTTTTCTAAGACGCCTTGTCTAAGAGGAGCACCTCTGGCACAGTGTGAAGAAAGCTCTATCTAAAGACCAGCACACACGTGATTTTTGAGACTACACTCTGTGAAAGGCTCGCAAACACAGACGGAGGGCTGGAGGACAAGAGGAAAGCAGACAATCAAAGAAACTGATACACATTCCAAATAAGCGATTAACATACGCCACCGCACAAAGAAACACACAAACAAATAAACTGCATTTGTTGGAGGCTCCTCTACTACTCCTTTACATCACTGTCCAGTCCATTCATTCCTGTGTACATGACATGCTGTGTAGATCTGTGTCTATACTACTGTTTCTGCATGTATTTGTTTAGACGAATGGGCACTTTTGTGTACCATCCTCAAAGCCATGCGCACCCACATGGAAATACACAGTCTGTGCATCTGTGTGTGTGTAGTTCTTAGTTGCTCGGTCTGTTTCCTCTTTGAGGATTCAAAGTCCAAAAGGACTTTCAGAGGCAAATGACCCCTCCGCAGCCCAGAGCAGCACAAAGCCAGGAAGAATCAGCTAATTCTGGGCTGATTACTGAAATAAAATAATTTGATTTGTCACCAAAAAGGGCTTTCAAGCATGAAACCCCTCTGTGATTGATGCTTCACAGCAGCAAATAATGAATGAATGATAGAAATACTGGAAATGTGATTTTTGCCTTACAGATAAAGCGGTTTGAGTACTGCTAAATGAAGGTACTGTGGCCTATGGCAGGGCTGGATTGTGGGGTCCCTACCAGAGAAAGGAACATAAAGGGGCCCTCAGAGCATACAGTATGAGCTGGCTCCCTGGGCCCCTTGATGTAGGAGAAGGATTAGGGGCTTTCGTACTGGAGGAACCTTTCATAGTTCCTAGAACTATTGGCGAAAGTACCCGCTTTTTGGCGTGTTCGCACCACAGGAACTAGGAACGGTTTTAGTTCTAGGAACTCCATTAGGAGGAACTAAATTAGCTCCTACTTCAGAGTAGGGTCTAAAACAGTTCTATAGGAACTACCAGTGACGTTAGTGTACGCTGTTTAGCAGTCTTCTCCTGTATGTCAGAACTGTGAACTGATTGTAGATGGTGAAAATTGGACTTTACTTGACCGCTGCAAAGTCAATCAGTCACATTCAAAGCAAGGGAGTTGTTCTTCTCTGGAATGTGGCTGGCAGTGTTTTGTGGTGTCACGAGAAGCAGTCAAACCACTGCCATCCGTATAGGGACCAGATGTAGCATGTTCTGTTCATAATAACCTGCACAGACAAAGGACCCCAAGATGATGGATGTCGCTTTATATTATTTAGCTTGAATGCCTATTGAAACTACAAGGAAATCGTCAAAATGGAAATGAAGAGTGAAGGATTGATACATAATTATTGATTGTTTTGAGTTTCCCTTTAAGGACAGAGAATGTGCCTCATTTGAAGGTATATTTATCCCCAGTAAAGTGCATGATTCAAAGTAGCCATGAATACAGAGCTACAGATTTGTAATACAATGATCAGGGGCTACAAGTTAACCTAAAGCACTCCCAGTACAAAGAGTGTTCTATTTATGTAGCCACAATGATGTCTGTTTCAGGAGTATGTAAATATTTGTGAATATAAAAGAAAATGAGAGTAAGATCTTTAAAAACTTTTTTTATTCTCTCTTTTCACCACTTGTTGGGCAGGGTCTGGGTGGGAGAAGAGTAGGGTTCTTCCTAGTGTCAAACAGTCCCTCTGCCAGCCTAAATGTTGGATCACATTTAAATGCCATTTCCTGCCATATTCCATTAGAATAACTTGGATCTACTCACATTCTCCATTTATTTATTTTGTATTTGTTTTTAAATATTTGTAACATTATGTTAAAGTGACTGTAACACTCTGGATTATGTACAATATATCTTGTCTTCTAAATCTTTGTCAGCACTCAATAAAATAGTGACAACAGGTACATTCAACCCCATAAAGTCCTCATTTAAAAATCCTGATCTTCTTTTGAGGTGATAGTGATAGTTTAAAGGGGTCATATGATGCGATTTAAATTTTTCCTTTCTCTTTGGAGTGTTACAAGCTCTTGGTGCATAAAGAAGATCTGTAAAGTTGCAAAGACTAAAGTCTCAAATCCAAAGAGATATTCTTTATAAAAGTTAAGAGTCAACCACGCCTACCTAAAACGGCTCGTTCTAACACGCCCCAACATACCTACGTCGCTCTGTGGGAAGATTTGCATAACGCCACACAAATGTTCACGCAAAGAAAGAAGGAGTAACTTTTATTCTCGCTGTAGTATTGTTGACGCTGCAATCCGTATTTATGTCCCCACTGGATGCAACAAATGCCTTGTTTATAATGGGTTTTAATGTTTTTGAATCATCGCTCTGGCCGGACAGGGCATCACAATATGGTATGGGGCGTAACATTTCCGTCACACGCTTGAGGTATTCGGCCAATCATAACGCACTGGATAGCTGGCCAATCAGAGCACACCTCGCTTTTCAGACCGATGAGCTTTGTAAAAATCGACGCGTTTCAGGAAGGCGTGGCATAGAGGAGAAACAATAATGTACAGTATGTGGAAAATAAAATGTGTTTTTTAAACCTTAAACCGCATAAACACATTTCATTTTACCAAATACACAAAATAATGTTCTTTTTAGCAACATCATATGACCCCTTTAAAATAAACCTTCAACCCTCTCAGTCTCAATGTACCATAGTAAATCTGTTGTAGTTAAACTTGTCCACATGGTTTTATGTTAATATTATTGAAAATAACAGATAATTTAGTGTTACATGTTCTTTGTTGTTTATTCTAAATAAAGAAGTATGATCATTAATGTACAGATATGTTGTATTCTAAGTTTCTATTTTTATAATTTATATATGATGAAGATAAATGGACATTTGTGTTTCAAACATTTATTGAAGGTGTTTGTGTGAATGGCTGTATGTGTGAATGCCTTGTGATGCTCTTTGGAATAAAATAAAAACTACCTCTCAAAACAGTGTTTTTTTGATAATTTTTAAACAGTTAAAAACTATTGCGGATGTTAACACACACACACACAAACACACGTTTGTTTCTGTGAATTGTGGGGACTTTCCATAGACTTCTATTACTTTTATACTGACCAAACGATATTTTCTATCCCCTAACCCACTAATTCTCAAAGTGTGGTACGCAGAGGAATCACTGAATTAAATATAAATTAATGTTAAAACACTTTTAAAAAGTTTGCAAGGTCGCTAAATGATGCCTGTTAATTTTTTTTTTTTATCAAGTACTGTACATATTTTACTTTACATTTAAGTACAGTACAGTTTTTTTTACTTTCTAAGTACAGTTCAGTTTTTATTTAACTTTTAGGTACAGTAGGCTACATTTTAATTTAATCATTTAAGTTTTTTATTTACCTGTATGTAAGCACAGTGCAGTGTTAATGTTCAAACTGTATTTACAATGTTTAAAGTGGCCGACAATAATAAATATTCTTATTAGGAATAAAACTGTCTCGTTTTTGAACTGTGCGTAGCTGTAGCTGAACAATTAGGCCTACTAAGCTACTGTATTTTAATGTTGGTCATAATGGTGGTACTTGGTGTAAAAAGTTTGAGAACCACTGCCTTAACCCAAGCCTAACCGTACACCTACCCCTTACAGAAAAACAGTTTGCATTTTTACACTTTCAGATAAACATCATTTACTATTTTTAATATTTATTTTCCCCTCGGACTGCAGGCTGGTCCCCACATTGTCAAAAGTGTCAGGTTTTACTATCATTGTGGAGACATTTGGTCCCCCAATGTAGCATAAACAAGTACACACACACACACACACACTCACACACACACACACACACACACACACACACGTAAGCTATTGTTTGTAGAACAGCCTGCTGTTTATTTAATTTTAAACATCCCAAAATATTTCAAGTTAAAAATATAAATGACTTGCTAGTTTATTTCTGTAAAAAGTAAACAACTTTATAAGTGACAGTGTTCAAGTCATTTGTCTCTGAGATTTCAATGGTGTACAGTCATAATCTTCTTGGATATTTATATTTAATTATAATATGTTTGCCAAAGATAATGAGATGATGAATATGGGCAAAATTAAAGGTCAGTTGACCTACTGTTGTTTTTCTTGATGTAACTCATTTGATCGAGAACAAAATATGTTAAATGACATCAGACTGCACACCAGTGCTGTCTCATTAGACTACATAACTGAGAGACGATAAGACAGACGAAAGGAGTCTGTAGATATTGTTTTTATTTAATGCTGAATTTTCAAATATGCCTTATGGCATCAAATGGGCCAGCAGTGCTGCTCTATTCATGTTTTTCGGTCTTTTTCTTCAGTACTGGGTCTGCTGTCAGCTGACTAACTGTTTTCAGATGTTGAACTGGATTTCATAACGGGGCGGGACCAAATCACTCCGAAACAGAAGAGTGGAGAAAACAAGCCTAAAAGAGTTCTTAAACTTTCAAAGTATTTCGTAACAATTAACCTTATTAGGGGATCAGCAAAATGGAAGGTGAGTTTAATTTTTATAATACTTCGAGTTATTTTCCCGCTTCATTTTGTTAGGAATGTACATTTAGGCTATAGTTACTGCTCAGCTGAATCGAACTGAATGTGTGAGGCGATTTCAGCTTCATTTTGCGATTTAAAAAAAAAAATGTAAGTGTTATAATCGCGTTAGTCATGAAACTGTCGTCGACAGACGAACCGCAGATCGATTCTGGAGAAGATCGGAATCCCGGAGAGGTTCTGCACATTCGCTTTCAGAAAACCCCCAATCAAACACTCAAATACCTGGAGGCTGAACCCAAAATACTAGGGGTGCGTGAACCTATATCACTTTACAGCTCAAATGCTGACAGACTTTTTTGTTTGTTTGTTTGTTTTGCTTACTAACTGGATGTGAAAATTACCACTATTCACTACAGAATAACTGATTAGGCTTATATACACTGCTGTTCAGAAGTTTGGGATCAGTAAGGTTTTTAATATTTTTAATGAGGTTTCTTGTGCTCATCAAGGCTGCATTTATTTGATCAAAAATACAGAAAAAAACTATGATATTGTGAAATATTACAGTCTAAAATAGCTCTTTTGTATGTGAATATATTTTAAAATGTAACTTATTCCTGTGATGCAAAGCTCAATTTTCAGCATCATTACTCCAGTCTTCAGTGTCCCATGGTCATTCAGAAATCATTCTTATATGCTGATTTAGGCTATTGGAAAAAAAGTTGTGCTGCCTAATATTTTTTTGTAACCTGTGATACTATATTACTTTATTCAAGATCTTTGATGAATACAAACTTTAAAAGAACAGCATTTATTCTTTTGTAACAATATATTCACTACTGTTCAAAAGTTTGTAGTCAGTTTTGTTTTTAAAGAAATTCATATTTTATTATAAATTGAAAAAAAGCAAATTGTTAGAATCTTATATTGTTAGATATGATTTGTGTTTTGAATAAATGCTGTTCTTTTTAACCTTTTATTCGTCAAAGAATCCTG